TAATAATTCTTATTTTTTAAAGAATAAATTTAAACATAAAATTTTTATAATCTAGAGAATAATTTATGCTTAAAACATTTATCATATTAAAGAAAGATTTAAATGAGCTCATTCTATTCAAATCTGATCCTTGAATATATTTATTTATACTTGCATATGTCATTTCACATATTTAGCAGGTAGTTGACAGATCATAATGGATGAACTTGTACATCATTAACCCCAGAAGAAGAACTCACATGAGGGTTATAAAAACCTAACTTGACGAAACACCCATGTGAAGTCCCTTCTCATAAGAGCAATTAAGGACTATTGTGGACCACTCAACTTCTCACTTGCCCTCTAGCAAGAACTAGCCACTAAAGTCAGTCGTATATGTTAACTTATCACTCAACTACTTTTTCAAGAGGGTTCTAGTTGGTCACATCATAGTAAGCCAATCACGGAGCCTACCATCCATGCAACTTAAATGTACAAGCCTTCCACTTCGAAGCAATTCAAAGCTCCAACAACGGTAGACTTGGGACCCATGCCATTTCTAGGCCTCTCAACTCATCACTCTCTAGTAGATTCTCATACTCGTACTTGCCCTTGCACACTCTGTGTATGTAACTTGCCCCAAGAAAGATAAACAATATCAGGAGATACAATCACCCATCAAGTTGGTCAGGGTGTGACACATTTCTAAGATAGTTTGTATTAAAAGTTATTAATTGTTTTACTTTTTTTTATTATGATAGCCTTTTATATATTCCTCAAATCTCTATAAATAAAGGGGAAGCAAAACATTTTGAATCTTTTTTTAGCTTCTTTCTACACATACTTGAGCTAGTTGATCATTTTCTATAGAATTTTTCTCTCTCCCCATTCTCATACATGTTCTTAGGTTATACCCTAAAAGCACGCCTTCTAGTAAAGTCAGGTATCATTTAAGGAAAAACTTAGATCTAACATCTTAATGGTTAAAGTAAGCATGGATTGAAGAAGTGAGTATGGATTGATGCTAGTGATTAGAAGACAACGTAGCTTGATGAGTAGACTCACCCCAAACCCTATGTGAACATGGAGAACCCAAACCAAGCAACTCGTTGTGATCTCATGAAAATGGAAGAGAGATTGATACAAATGATCTTGGATGGCCTAGTAGAGTATCAAGGTCCATGCAAAGGGAGAGCACCATAGAAGAGTTGTTCAACTCAACCGTTCATCACATAAGGTTGGAGAGTAAAGAACTAATCTAAATATATATTCATGGCCCCTCTTTCATGGTGAAGAGTGATGAAGAAAACAAACCAACTCCTTGCTGTAATAAAAGTACTGAACCTAAATAGAAGAACACTTTCTCTAGGGATATAATAGAGGTGAGTCCACCTCTAAAATTTAAAGTGCCATATTGGGAGTCCTATAGGGGCATGATTAATATAGTGGGTCATATGGCTATCTTTAAGTTAATGACATTGCTGCTAGATATAGATGATGTTCTAAAGTGCCAATTATTCTTTACAACCCTCAAGTAGTTTGTGTTGAGTTGAGATAATTTACTCGAATGCCAATAGGAGTCAACACCTCCTTTTCAATATTCAAAAGATTCTTATAACTCAGTTCATCAGCACTCAAAAACCCGAAAGAGCTTGCAAGCTCTCCTCAAAATGAGGCAGGAGCCAAGCGAGTCACTGAGGAGATTTATTATAAGATTCTAGATGGAGATAGTGGAGGTGAAGGATTTGGATCTTATGATCACTCAGACTTCATTAAGTTAGAAAGCCCTTTTCATTATGCACTCGACATACATGCAATAGTAAATGATGTTGGTTAAATTATTAAAGCTTACAACAACCACTTCAACATATATGAATCACATGACCAAATCTTCTTCATCCATTAACCCCCAAGAACTCATCGTGAGAAGTGAATGATGACAGGGAAGAGACATGGAAATAAATCACCTAAGGAACTGAAGAGATATGGGTACCATTATGCCGAGAGACTACCATCTCCCAGAAAACCAACACCCTTACAAGTTAGGCTGCACAGGATTGCTAATCCATCTATGTCAAGGGTAAAGAAGCTCCCTCGTACAAGTCTCCATTAGCACAAGAAGGGTATAAAATTCCCCCTAATTATCCCACCTATACCCCATTGCAAGTATCAATGGATGAGTTGGTAGAAGCCATTCAAAACAAGAAATTCTTTAAGGCCCTAGTGCTTATGAAGGAGAGTGCGTATGCATACGGTACATCAAAATATTGGGCTTTCCATGAGGATAATGGCCATGATACAAAGAAATTCCACCAACTTTGAGGGTTGATTGAAGACAACATAAAGGCTAGAAAGTTAAAGGAGTTTATACTTGCCAAACCTAGTCGGAGCCCAGGAAAAGCCATAATGGAGGGCAATATGAATGAGCCCATTCTTGCTTACTCCATTTATATAGTGGGAGTAATGCTAGCCATCATGGAGGCATACAAGTTGAGACCTTCATCATGACTAAGAGATTGAAGGTAGGAGAAGTCAACTCAATGTTTACCTCAGAGGCATTAATGATGGATTTCACCACTATCACATTATGTGAAGTGGGTAGGCTTATTGAAGGGAACCCCTACAATGATGTCGTGGTCATCACTGGCTTAGTTGCTAACTACCAAATTTATAATATTTTATTTAACACAAGGAATCCTATCAACATTATTTTTAAATCTGTCTTTGATAAAATGAATTTTCATGCTTCTCAGCTTACTCCTACTGTAGGTCTATTGTATGATTTATCAGGAGAGCATTGAGAAATAAACGGATTACTCACCTTAGCTATCACTTGGGGTGAGTTTGATTGACAATACATTAATTGGCATTATGTACTTAATCATTGTGAATGCTCTCACCACATATAAATGCTATCTTTGGCAGATCCTTTTAGAACACCTTCAATTGGATAATTTCAAGCTTCCATGTAGCAATCAAATTACGAAAGGGAGATAATTTTTAGTGGCAACCTCATGTAGTCTCACACCTGATACTTAAGAGTTTTTGGTAAAGTAGGGACTTCCCCAAAGAAAACCTTATAGCTCAATGTTGAATGAAGCCCAAGGTTAAAGATCACAGAGCCTGTGGAGGAATCCTGACAGTAGAATTTATAAATAAGTGAGGCTAGGTTGTCCAAGCCCTCAAGGATGACCCAAACATCTTTGCATGGACAACAATAGAGATGTTCGACATAGATGAAGGAGTCATATGTTACGACCAAAATGTAAGAAGAGATGCCTAGCCCATCAAGCATAAGATAAGGAAGATGATGGCTACACTCATAGAGTCTATTAAATAAGAAGTAAAAAAATTGCTCGATGCCAACATCATCAGAGATATGCAATACCATGACTGGATTTTGAATATAGTAAGTGCAAAAAGAACCAACAAGTGAAGGATTGCATTAACTTCACAAATCTCAATTCAGCATGCCAAAAGAACAATCACCTATTTGCCCAGAATAGATTAACTAATCACATGAACTAACATCCTCAAGATATGGAAGGTGATATGTTTGATGTTTGATTTATTTATTGTATAAGTGAATCATAATTTGTGTGGTTGTGTATATTTGCTTAATTTAAGCTTACAAGTTATAATACTCTCACCTTTAGCACTATTTTGTACTCTAGATTATTTTGCCCTTGGATATATTAGTGCATTTTTAGTTTAATTATTTGATTGATTATTTTGTAATTCTAAATTTATTGTAAGGGATCAAGCTAATAAAACATTTCATTATACCAATTGCATACCTAATTCACCTAACTCAAAACATCTTTATGAAAATGAAGTATGTAATAAGTGTATTTTAGTGCTTTCATCATAAATTTAAATTAAAAATTGTATATGTGAAAATGCTATTGTAGTTAACTTAACAGATAACGATCACGTGCTCGCCCAGATGAATTCACCTGAATAAGCCAAACAGCCCACCTTCAATTGAACAAATTGGGAATAACACATCAGGTGGATCATATATCACTCACTGATATCTTCATTGTCAGCTTTCAATGCATGACCATTGTCCCTCACCCAAGTTCGACTAAAGCAAAGATTTCAGTCTTAAGGGATATCATGTTTGCCACTATTTCAGGCCTCAGCGTCCTCCACATGCATCTACCACTTTTCACTAAAGCGATCCTTAGAGCGAGACAACAATGAACAAACAGTCTCCCCTTCAGGTCTTCGTCAAACTCGGCGTTAGTCCATAACACACCAGTTTGCCTCCTATATGACTTGCCCTAAGACAAGTCATTTACGCTAGCTCTCCCACCAACTAAAGGGCAACATGTGCATTTAACATGACGTAGCATTGTTTTTCTTTTATTTTTCTTATGTAGGCCTTTCTATAGCCCCCCAAAGCCTTATAAATAAAGGGCCATGGGCACTATTCAAGAAAAAAAAAAATTTATCAGAAGAGATCTCTTGGATAAGTAGGGAATTTTCTACTTGTTTGGGACTTCTAGTCTTTTCCCACTTTTCTTATCCTACTGTACTCTCCATTTTTGCATAGTTTCATACTTTCTTTTGCTTCCTCGGTAGACCTACTAGAATGATCATGTTTCTTCTAAAGACAAATTTGGATAAAAAAAAAAAAAAAATCTATATGACATGAACCTATTAGGTACAGTTAAAGTAATTAAAGTTAATTTTCTTAAATAAAATACTAAAAATTCGAGAACATTGAAGCAACATTTTCAATAATAATAAAAGAAAACAATGAGCACTTCTGTTGCTTGATCAGGCTTCTGGAAGTTAAACTGTAGCAATAAAATAAGTATGGGGAAAGCAGAAGAAGGTTACACTGTAGAAGAACAGAGACATTCTAAGCATCTTCAAATGGGATAAAGATGCGCAATCATGAAGCGGTTATTTAATTCATCTTTTTTTAGTAAATTGAGGAAGTTTGAGTCTCAGCTGAGGCCACGACTGCCCCCCCTTTTTTTACAAGAAAATACATAAAGCAAAACAAAGTGTTGAGAAAACGACCATACAGTTTTTTTTTATATATAATTTTGCAGACACAGAACTAATCAACATGAAAACTACATCAAGGTTCTTCCACAAGTCAAGGCTTTGATTTCAAGCTATTGCCTTGCTTCTTCTTCACCTCCTAAAAATCAAAACATAACTCAACTCCAGGATACATTCCTGGGCATTTGAGAATAGCTCAGTCGACAAACGTTGCAGGAACAGAAACAAAAGAGAACAAGAAACTCAGAAGCCAATGGAAATCAAAGCAAGGAAAGACGAGAAAATGGCGCATACAAGCAAATAGAAACCTGGTTTCTGTTATCACTGCTGTGTAGAAAGTTACGGGATAAAGACGACTCCCCTAGGACTCCTTGAGTTGCGCTTTCACTAGTAATGAGAAGCAGAGGATCCCGAAGATGGCTTGTCGGAGATGCCGTCGTCGAGAACCTCGTCGCTGTGAATCTCCGCCGGAAAACGGAACCCAGAGAAGTTGCGGCCGCCGGAGGAAAAACCAATGGAGGAAACTTCTGGAATGAGCGCCTGTTGCATTTGGTGATCAATGGGTTCCATCCATGGACGAAGCAAGGAAGTGGTACTGGACTGAAGGGGCCCCCTCTGTGTAGGAAGCTGGCCTTGGCCGAACAATACAGGCGGCATATTGAACGTATAAGCTCCGGCGCCACCTTCGCTGCCGCCGGCCACAGCGTTCCATGAAACCATTCTCGGGTTCTGGTCTGCGAAGCCCGCCGGAACAGTGTCGAATGAGAAATGATGGTGTGGAATTGGGTTCGGATGGTCAAAGGTCCGATCTTGAATGGACTGGAGGGAGAGACGGAGATCCTGGAAGTGATGACTTTTGTTCGAGCCGTCGTGGACGGTGGCGGCGGAGGTTACCGGAAAAAATGACTTGATTGTGTCGGCAATGGTGTCGGAATCTAAGGAAGGAGGGAGGAAGCTGGAGCTGGCTATGTTGCTGAAACTGAAAGCAGAAGAAGCAGCGGGCTCAGGTTGTGGCATGGGCTTCTTGCTGGAGATTTCTTCGGCCGAGGAAGGGTGCCAGGCGGGGTGCTCTGCGAGTTCGTCAATGGCGGCTTTGGCGTTCTGGATGAGCCAATCGACGGCTTTGCTGGGGCGGTCGTAGCCGAGGCGGTCTTGGACGTCGTAGAACTGAATGGCAGTGTGGGCGGAAAGACGAACTCGGCGATCTCTTGGGCCTTTGGCCGTGCAAACCTTGCTGTGGCGGTCTTTACGGCCAATGGAGCGGACAATGTGGCCGCCCTGTACCTCGACGATCTCTCCGGCGGAGCTCCTCATTCCGCTAAGCCTCGAATAACTATGCTTCCGCTGCGCCGGAGCCGGCGGGACATAGTCGGAAGAAGCCGTGGCTGCGGCCGACGGCGAGGAAGAAAAGAAAGGTTTTTTAAGCTGGTGGATATGAAAGCCGACGCCTTGTTCTGCTTGTTCTGTTTCTTCTTCTCCTCTTCGGTTGGGAATTGGGAGTCGGAAGTGGGGATCCAGCTTTAATTCAACAGGCTTTCTCGTTCTCAAAGAAACTTGCTTCAGGACTCTCCGATGAGCAGAAATTCTGCTCTGCCTGCTTCCTCTCCGAAAATATTTGGCCATCCAAGATCCAGAATTCCATTACTGTAAACATGTAGAGGGAGACCCACGAACAGTTGCTTAAAGGACATGGTTGTGAGAAAAAGGAGGCAGGAGCTACAGAAAAAGCAACACAACAGTGAGAAGCTAGTAAATTGATGCAGACATTGCTTACCCTCAGCTTCCACGCCTCTCAAATTGACGAATGACCTAGAAAAAGGCCTCGCCTTGCTGGGAGGGGAAGACGAGTTCAACCAAGGAAGAAAAACGAAAGCTTTCGGCGGAGGAGACAAGCTTCAAAGACTCATAAAAGATCTTGGTGATCTCAGTGGGCCGCCCATCTCAAGGCATAATACCAAAACTCGAAGGAGCGAGGGCTCTCTCAGCGCCTCCCTCCTCTTTTTCTCTCTTTCTTGGACAGCGATCCTTTCAGCTTTTGGTTTTTTCTCGCATCCTTTATTGCTTTGTGGAAAGAAGCACAGCCTTTCCCATCCCCGTCCTCTTCTATGCCGATTGGCATCGTGTTTCTCGGCCTGCTTGAGGATTTCACCGTGGCAAATCCGGTTAAACCGTCAACTCCTACCTGCAGTTAAACTATCCATTTAATTTGCCAATTTCCTCAATAAGGAAAATGATGCATCAAATGAAATGAGTAAAAAAATCTTAAGATTCAGCCCCATTCCATATTTGAAAACTAAGGGCATCTCCAACTTTACACTTTGAAATACAGTAAACTTTCAAAATGGTGTAATTCATCTTCAATCGAATTTCATTTGTCAGCACATACTTCCTGCGAGGGTAACCATCTCTGTCCTCTTTCATGCATTTTTCTCCTCTTTCTTGCTCTTCTTCGGCAAATTCACAAGCCGGATTTTTTGGTGTAGGTGTGCAGTCTGATTATAATATTGGTGTCGCACTGTTCACCTACCAAATTTTGGCATGAGATTAGGAGTTCGAATGCAGCAAAAGGCAGATGGCATATAGTGGTATGCAGTTTGGTTGGAAATGATATAAGAGCTAAACCATCTTAATTTTATTATAAATTATTTTTTTATCATGTAAAAATTTAGCCAATCTTATGAATTATTTAAATAAGATATAATTCTTTTTCATACCCTTACACTACTTAGGATCCCTCTTGTTGAAGTCCAGAAAAGGAAAAATGAGCCTTTGTTGAACTAAACAAGTAAAGTATGGAGTGATAGAAATGAGAAATAATTACGTGAGACTTCATTGGAGAAGGAAAATAGAGAAATAAAATTCTAGGGTTAGTAGGGTGAGGTTGAAAAAGGGTGATGTGATGATTTAGGGAGTGTGAGTAAATGAAGGGAGTATTAATTAAAATAAAAGATAACAAAATTTGATGTTTTCTAAAGAATTAAGATTGATTGCAAGTATGATCTTTAGAGAAGAATGTAATCTTCTTCAATTCATTAAATTAAAAAAAAAAAAGATCATTCAATATTATAATTTCACAATACAACAACAACAACAACATCATCTAGTCTTTCATCAGCTACGTGGGGTCGGCTACATGAATCATTTTTCTCCATTGTGACTTGTTAAAAGCCAAATTATAGTTTAAATCTAATAAAGAAATTTCATTTCTTATATGTTATAACAAAGTCTTTTTAGGTCTATCTCTATTTTTCTTAACATATGCTAAATCAAATATATTTACTTTCCTAACTGGGTCATTGAGAGGTTGGCGTCTAAGGCGACTCTTTCTAATTTTATCTTCCACTGGAGCTACTCCAACCTTTTCATGCATATGCTCATTTGGTATCCTATCTCTAAGAGTAAAGCCACTCATCCACCTGAGCATCCCCATCTATGCAACACTTAACTTAATATTATGCTTCTTTTTTAATGGCCAACATTTTGTACCATAAAGCTATTACAATTACAACATACATTAGTATGAAATTTTCAAGGGAGGAGGAAGGAGGATAATGACTCTCGAAGTGGTGGATGAAAGAGAGAAAATGATATTTTATTTTTCATAGAATGTTGTGACCAACAGTTGGAGCCATACATAGAAATTGACTCCTTGTATGTGCCTTTGTGCATGGAAATGAATTATGTGCATGCTCTTTCACTCAAAACCATGTTTATGTTAGGCTTCATCATGTGTTTGCCATCCACATTGGAAATTCCTTTCATGGCAAATCACCTTGCATGTCCCGTGCGCACATATACTTCTTGACATTCTAATGAACTACTAATATATTAATGAAGTTCACATATTGCAATAGCTAACCAATATCAACTCTCAAATTACAATAATAATTCAATTTTAAAATAATCATACGATTGAAGGGATCACATCATTTTTTTACTTGAACCACCCAATAAAATACATAATTACTTTTTTAGTTGTATTTGATAATTGGACACAATGATTAAAATCTAAGAGGTTGACATTTACCTAAAAGAGAAAATCATTCATTGCCAATCTTCATATGTCCATTAGATAGTTAACATACCAAAATGATGAAGTGCTTGATTGTGGGCTAAATAAGGTGGGAATGGTAAATCTTATGAGTTATCATGTGAAGAGGTCATTGTAAGAGCATGGTTGTGGTTAGAGTTGTAAGATAAGGGCTTATTTGAAGTGTACAAGAGGTATACTTTATGAAAAAATATGGGGGGACCATTAATTGTTGAGAATGTGTGCTTAAAGATTTGTGATTTGAGATGGGTTTGTGAGGTGGGGACATGTTTGAGATTTTTGGGAAGGTGGTATGTGGTGTTGAAGGTTATAGATGTGAGAGGTAGGCTAGAAGTTTCCATATAAAGAGGAAATTAAGAGGTTTACCTTTTATAAAGGGCCAAATTGATTGGGGTAATGATTCTAAGGTTGAACAGTAAGATGTCATGAATTATAGGGTATGAGGATGAAATTTTAAATGTGGTGGTGAAGATGCAGATTAAGAGCTTGGAGGTTTAGGAGTTTGGTGGTGAAGTTCAATAATGACAATTCTTTGGTTCGGAGGAAGAGGTTGAATATGGTGATGAGTGGGTATAGGGCGAGGTGAGAGACGAGTTTATCTCTCTTTATCTCTTTCTCACTCTCTCTCTCTCTCTCTCTCTCTCTCTCTCTCTCTCTCTCTCTCTCTCTCTCTCTCTCTCTCTTACTCTCTAAAACTTTAATCAAAATCTAAGCATGATTCCTGCAAAGCCATGCTCATCAAAGACGAAGGAAATCTAACTACCTCTAATGTTAGATCATCTCATTACTGATTGAGTTTCTCCTAGGAAGTCCTATGGCTTCCAATCATTACATTTAGCTTTTTAGTATTTATTATTGACCATATGACAAAAAAATTTTCTAGCACTGACCAAGATAAGTACTAACCTTTTATCACTTCATCGACATCTTTTTTGACCTCCACCTATACATAATTGAATGACAGAGAAGAGCAAGTGATTCTCCTTCAATATCATACAACTATCTTTTTTTAATGCTTAGAGATGCTATGTATGAATGATTAAATAGGACTATAGTTTTTAGTTCAATAACCATCAAACTTACAAGTAAAAAATAGATTTAGTTTAAATCTTACCTAAGATTTTTACGGATTTAAAATGAATTTGATATCAAACTTTTACGGAAATAATATAGGAAAAGTAAGCTCCATATGTCTCAATAATTTATACTTGGAGATTGATTTTTTATAAATTATCTTGAAAGAGAGAATAAGTCATCTCTATGTGGCACCCCTTCTCAATTAAGCATGAGGGTTAAGTGAGGCTTTATAATGTGATAGTTTAGGAATATTAAATATATTAATCTTTATCATAAACTTTGCTTTATTCTTAGAGGAGCTTTTTATTTAGATGCATTATTTTATTTTTAACTCATTTGCCATTTTTGAGGTCCCACTTAAAGAAACCTTTACCTCTTATTGCATCTTCAAAATCAAAATTAATATATTTTATAATTTATCTAGTTATTCTAACATTTGACCTTATGTATAAGGTAGTATCATAGCATTCATATGCTACTATCATAGCTGCTTAATTTCTTTCTGAATTTAAATATAGAAGGTTGGGACATAACCTTCTTTACAAAAATTCCTAACAAAGATCAATTTCTTTTTCAAGCCATAAATATTAATTATATTATAAAATATTCACTTAGTACCATTAAAATTATTAATTTTCACATCACTAGCTCCTTTAATGTTCAAGAGTTCAACATAAAAAGGATAGAGCTTCACGAAATCTCCAATAAATAAATAAATTAATATATATATATATATATTTAAATAATTGAATGAAAAGATGCGTATAAGTCCAAATTTTATATTCTATATTAATATTTATACTTAGAATCAATGCATCATAAATCTATTTTCTTACATAATTAATAAAATTCTCCATCAAAATTAAACTCTCTCCAACTTTCCCTTGTAGACAATCCTTTTTTAAATGTATTGCCACATTGACATATAGGTTATTGTGAACTTTAAATTGACCCCTTTATTGCACTTCATCCTTTGATCTCATGATTTAAGACAGTAGAAGGAGAATGTCAATCTAATTTTCATATCATAATATCCTTACTTATGATCATGTTATAGATATTGTTAAGATTCAACTTTTTGAAGTAATGACAACTATAAAAATCTTAACTAGCTTTTTGGTAATGATGATAACAAGAATAATGTATGAACTTCATCATGAAAGTTGAAATCAATCAAGCTAAAGAAACTTATAATCTTATTAAACTCATTAATATAAAGTACTATGAAAGCTCTTTTAATATTTTTGAGCTTAAAATTTTTTCTCATTAGGTATAACTTGTTTAAAAGGCTCCTTGTATATGTTTAACATACATTTCATTATGCCAATTATCATCCTTTCTAATAATATACACAATCAACATTCTTTGCCATTGATAAACATAAAATTTTAAATTCTTAACTTTCTAGAAGATCCCAACCTTGTTGATATGTAATTAGTCAGTTCAAGTTAAAGGAAGATAGATATAACTTTCTCTAGTATATGTAATATTTGATCTATACATCATCTGAGCTTGAATTCCTTATTATTGAATTGATTAATCCACACCCTCTCATCCTTATAAGTTATTCCTCCTATGTCCCCCATATAACTCAACAACACCTAGCTCGAGTACCAATTATTGGGGCAAAATGCATGCCATATAGTAAAGATGATTACAATTATGGAAAAGAAATATGTAAGGACAACACTATGAAAAATATAAGAAAATTTATATGTTTTGATGAAATTCACCTGCATCTATATTTGCATGTAAAGATAAATGTCTATTAGTTTAGAGATAAAAATATGATAGAAATATTTACCCTCATATATTTTATTCATAATTATAATATTAGTATTCTTACCTTTAACCTTTTCTTATTCCCTCCTCAAACCTACGCATGACTCTTCTCTTAGTTATCTTCATCAAAGATATAAAAAAGCCTATCACACTTGTATAAGACCATAACTTATTGGTCA